AGAGAGAGAGAGAGAGAGAGAGAGAGAAATTCTCTTAGGAGATATCTAAAGAAGCCCAGGAATGCTTGGAAGTTGAAACACAGTAAATGGTTATAAATACATATAAATGTATATAAAATCCTTAACAAATAAATTTTTAGACCTGTGTAGAGATCTGTTTAAAATCATATAAAAATGAAGATATATGTATAAAATACGCAAAATACATACAAGCACAAATGTTTAACTTTTGTTCATATACTTGGCATTATATAAACAACTTAAGCTGTGTTGGAGTGATCTGTAATATACATTTCTCTTTACTTTCCCCTGTTTACGTTCTGTACTATTTTGAAAAGAAATTTAAAATCCCCCAAAGAAGTATTCACGTGAGTCACATACACCCAGTGTTGTTATTTAACAAACCAATACAAGAGTATTTACTTGGAACTGCTGCTCTGCTATTCCAAAGCCTGTTCAGTGCCACTGGGTTGACAGTAGCTCAGTACTCTCTCAGCAGTGGCTCATGAACAGTAAAAGCCAAGTTAGGTTTAGTGTAGCAAGTGTCAAGTATGAGGGACCCTCAGTGAACTACATGCGTGTGGAAGCACATAACACCTCAGCAAGTGTGAGGGAAAACTACAGACTCTGGTTAGTGTTGTGAAGGTAAAAACTACCTGATGAGTTTAATGGTTGACCGGTGAAGGTGTGTCTAAAAAGATGAGGTAAGGTGATGTTCAAGGTGATAAAGGAGGCAAGTAATAAGAAGAGCAGAGGAAGGGGGTTCCTGGCAGTGGAACAAACAAATGCACAGGCCTACTAGGAAAATAGTTTTGTTGTATTCCAGTGACAAAGAGGCAGCATGTCATTCTGGCACACAGTTATGGGAAGGGAGATGTTGATGTTAAGGAGGCAGGCAGCCTCAGAGGCTATGGAAGCAATCTGTAGCTACTTAGTTGTTTGAGGCCGGAGAGTGATAAGATGTCACTTTGGCTGCTGGATGGAGAATCTGTTGGTTGCCAGGAAAGATGGAGAGAAAGAGAAAGACAAAGCAATTACAGTTTCCCAGGTGAGATTTTGGTGGTTTAGCTTGGGACAGCAAAATTTATTTTTTTTTTAATTTGAATTCCACTTTCTTTAAATGTAATTTGTATCTTTTTAATTTACTGACAAGTAAAATTTGCATAGTTAGGATGGGCAGCATGATATTTTGACATATGTATGTATTGTGAAATGGCTAAATCAAGCTATTTAACAATATGCATTAGCCCACACACTTATCATTTTTTGTGTGTGATAAGAACACTTAAGATCTATTCTCTTAGTAATTTTCAAATATAGAATACATTGTTATTAACTAATGATGTACCTTAACTATCTTGAACTTTTCCCGGCCATCTAACTGAAATTTTGTGTCTTTTGACCACCTTTCTGCAGCCCTACCACTTCCCTGCCTCTAGTGACCACTGTTTTTGCTATTTCTGTAAATTCAGCTTTTTTATATTCCATGTGTGAGATTATATAGTATTTGTCTTTCTGTGTTTGGCTTATTCCACTTAACAAGATGTCCTACCAGTTTGTGTTTTCGCAAAAAAAAAAAAAAAAAAAAACCAACAAGATTTCTTTTTATTTTTTTAAGCCAAATAGTATTTCATTATGTATACAGTTGATCCTCTGCATGTTCAGATATAACCAGTTGCAGATCAAAAATATTCAAAAACATTGCATCTGTACCGACAATGCAGATTTTTGTCATTGCCTAAAAAATACAGGATAACAACTATTCATATAGCATTTACATTTATTAGATGTTATAAATAAACCAGAGGTGATTTTAAATATATGGGAACATGTGCATAGGTTATATGGAAATACGCCATTTTTATAGAAGGAACTTCTGTGGGTGGTCCTGGGACCAGTCCTCCATTAAACTGAGGGATGACTGTCTGTACCACATCTTCTTTATTCTTTAGTTTGCTTGAGAGACATTTAGGTTGACTTTATGTCTTGACTATTGTAAATAATGCTGTAATGAACATAGGAATGCAGATAGCTCTTAAGTATGTTAATTTCATATCCAATGGATGTATACTCAGTATTGGGGCTGCTGGATTATACAGTAGTTCTGTATCTATTTATTTATTTTAAATTTTATTTTGATGGTGCTAGTGGTTGGACCTAGAACTTCACATATGCTAAGCATATATTCTACCACTGAGCTCTCCCCCCAGCCCAATTTTTAATTTTTGGAGATACCTTTACACTATTTTCCGTAATGACTATACTAATTTTATTCCACCCAACATCTAACAATATGCAAGTTTTTCGTTTTTTCCACATTCTGGTTAATGTGTGTTATTTTTCATCTTTTTTTTAAATAAGTCATTCTAACAGGAAGGAGGTGATATCTCATTGTGTTTTAATTTGTATTTCCAATGTTTAGTGATGTTAAACATTTTTTGATATTATACATGTCCATTTTATCTTCTTCAGAGAAATGTCTATTTGAATTCTTTGCCCATTTTTATTTTGTTATTTGTTTTCTATTGAACTGTTTTACTTCTTATATATTTTGGATATAATCCATTATCTGATACGTGGCTTTACAAATATATTTTCCCATTCCCTACATTGTCTTTTCACTCTATCATCTCCTTTGCTGTGTAGAGGCTTTTTAGTATGATGTAATCTCTTTAGGTCTATTTTTGGATTTGTTGCCTCTGATTTGGGTCATATCCAGAAAATCTTATAAAAGCCAAGTTTTTATTTTGCTGTTTGAGAAATGAAAAGTCAGGATTGATAAGGTAGAGCTCAAAGTCCTGTTACTGTTCCCATTTATGACCACTATAAAATGGCTTCAGGGACCTCAGAATATATGGGACCTCATGTTTTATGTACAGAGTTTAGAAAAGCTTTTTTTTTTTTTTTTTTTTTTTTGTACATCCAGGAGGTCCTAGAAGATGTCTTATATTCTTTTTTTGAACCCAGTGCCTATCACATGCGAGGCAAGCGCTCTACCACTGAATACAATGCCAGCCCTGTCTTGTATTCTTTTGAGCCTTGATTTTTTGGACTTCCAATTTAAAATATTTAAAAGGAAGATATAATTAAACATAGGATTTAGATTTAATACAAAATAGTTGTTTCTCTTTTAGAGCACAAAGAAGACTGCCAGAGCAATTATTAGAGGATGGTGCTGCTTATTTAAAAAAAAAAATCTCTAGTTCATTATGTTTGGTTGTGTTATTTATTTTGCTGATGATTGATTTTCACATGTCTCTTAACTGCTTGATCTAGGTTTACACTACTGGTTTCTCTTCCCTTTCTCTTTAAATGTTAATTATTCCCAGCATTCTGTGTGTGGCTCTCCTTTTTTCTGTTGTTACTTTAGCTTTCTACTACTCAGATTATTTTAACTATCATCTGTTCACTAATGACTCTCAATTCCTTACCTCTCTGCTTACTTTTCCCAGATCTGCACATGCCTATTTCTGTCCTCTATATTCTCCACACCCCAGAGCTCAAGTCGCAGGAAAGCTGAAGCACTTAAAACCTTACGCTGAATCCCCCTCCCTTCTTAGCATGCTCTTCTGATTTCATTCCCTGATTTCATTAGTAACTTTTCCAACCACAGATCTTAATGAGTCATCTTCCAATTCCTCTTTCCCCTTCACATCTCCCCTTTCTGTCCTCTCAGGTTTATCATCACTAACACTGCCTTTATCATCTCCTGTATGAATTGGTACAGTATTACATCATGTCTGGATTATCAGTCCCAGCCTCCATCCTGCCTTGTAGCCCTGAAGCCATCTGTGTGGTAGTTATTGTGAAAGCAAGTCTCCTCTGCCCAATGCTGTAAACTCCAGTGGTGTGTAAATTAAATCGTCCTTGCAAATGGTTAAAGTCAGAGGGATAAAATCCAGGCTGGCAAGCATGCTGGGATGTAAGGTGCAGTGAGCCAATCACCTTGCACAACGTGTCCTTCATGAGCTCCACATGCGTAATATCAGTGGTTGTCATGGTGACCAGGGAAGAGCTGGTGGCCAGGCGGGTGAAGACTCAGATCCTCCATTAGCCACATCCCTGTCGACTCTTAAGACCCTCCCTGTTCCCTTCTGCATGCACTGTGAGACCTCTGCCCTCTCCAGTACTAAGGTTTGGGGTAAGGGGAGGATCTCTGCCTGGCAAGATTATACTTCTACTGGGGAAAGGTATCGTGTCTGTCTTGTTCACTGCCCTGTCCCCAAGGCTGCCACCCCACTCCCCGCCATTGTGGGAGTCATGAGCCACTGTGCTGTCCCTTGGCCTCAGCTGTCATCCACATTCCAAACCCCCCACCTCCACCCCACCCCACCTCGATCTTTCCCTAGCTGAAACTTCCTGTCTTGAATCTCAGTGTTTTCTCCTGCACATCAGAAAGCTCCACTCAATGTTCTGAAATCAACTGTGATAATCTCCTTTCATCTGGAAACCAAATGCAGCCAGGCATAGTGGTCACCTTTGTGCCTTATCATACTCACTTAACCATCCGTTAAATCTTTATCCTTTCACATCCAGTATGCTGGACATCAGACCTGTTTAATCTACCTTTGAAATCTCTCATCTCTGCCCTCCTCTTTCTTTCCACAGGGCCTTCAAATACCTTTTATTAGCATGGACATGCCTTTGTCCCTTACTTTTTAATTTTTCAGTATCTTTTATGGAATTCATTTATAAGTGTTAGGCAAAAAGTATATTTAATCATGTGCACACAGAATCTCATTAACTTTCCATTCGGTATAGCATCCTAAAACTAATTCTGCAATCTCCTTGCTAAATTCTTTTCATCCTCCTCAGTCTGTTTTTCACTACAGGTGCCCATTATTCCACCCCTGTGGAATGATTACCTTTTATTATTCTTTTTTCAGCATGTTTTTGCTCCCGCTGTTCTCGGTCAATGTTGCTGAGCTTTTAGTATATATATATAAATTACCCAGGGATTTTGTTAGAATGGAGATTCTGATTCAGTAGGTCCTAGTGAAGCCTAAAATTCCTCATTTCTAAACAAATATTATAGTAAGGCAGATGGTACTCTTCAGAAGATCAGTTAAGAACCTCGTTTTCTGTATTATTTGAAGAACAAGGATAAATATGGAATTCCTCCCTCTCCTCTGTCTAATGACTTTCTTCCCCTGCTTGGAGGCAAGCACAGACAACCTCCTTTCTGTACTTCCTTCCTCTGGCTCCAGGCAGTCATTTCCTCTCTGTGTTTGTTGGTGCCTTTCACTTGGCTATAAAGGGGAAGTTATCTGGGGAATTTCCTCACTGGGATGTGAGTCCTGAAGATAGCAGCTGTGCTTCACATTTCCTTGACCTCATAACATAAGCCTTGCGTTCTCCATATTCTGCACACCCCAGAGTGCAAGTCCCATGAAACCTAAAATACTTATAATCATACAATGAATCCCCCTCCCCTCTTAGCATCCTCTTCTTTCCTTTGTCCCTAATTTCAAAAGAAAATAAAGCAAAATCTATAGAATTATAGTTTCTCAAATGTTGAGACTCAGTAATCTTCAAATCAAAAAAAAAAAAGAAGAAAAACCAAAACAAACAAACAAACAAAAGAAAACCCTTTATGCAAATGTTCACTCTCTTTCCTATCACCAGCTACTGCACTGGAAGCTACCTTGAAGGACAATTAATCCACAAGGACAGCTTCAAGGGTTCTGACAGAACCTCTGTAGCTAGGATTCTATGTGGCTCAGAAAATTATTAATTCTAGTGGTAGAGAGCCAGGTAATGCCAGCTGTGTGTCTCCAGCATAGTGCCAGTAACACTAAAAACATGTTGAATGAAAGAGTCCCAATCCGTAGTGTACAGTTAAGAATTCATTCGTTAATCTGAATGTTTGACTATGGCTTATTTGTTGATTTGCTTGAATTTGTACCAAGTTTAGCATTTTGACAAAGCCACAGCTTCTAATCAAATAGGCATTGAATACAGCCCTGTCTGCAGATCTCTATACTACCACTGACAGATATTAGCAACTAAGTGATGTCTTCGTGTATATATCTAATTGAAAATTCTTGTCCTGCAAAGAAATTAACTTCCCATTATAATAGGCCCAGAAATGAGCAGGTAAATAAGCATATTGAAACAGAAGGAAAAGATACATAGCTCAAAGGAGCTCATAGCTATTAGTATTTTAAAAATTATGAACAAATAGGAAACCCCCAAACCCAAAGTTTTGAAGGGTAAGAATCTTGCTTTCTATGTTATTAACTTTGCTCCAACTCTTCAGTAAACTATTTTCTTTAGTGGTATCATTTTTCTGTTATAGTCCTTATACAAATGAGTATTTTACTTGAAAAATTTCTTACTGTTCAAGCAAAAATGAGGAAAAAAAACCAGAAAGTTTACAAAGGGAGAAAAGTTCTGAGGTTTTTAAGATATTTTTAAATACTGTGTGGCCAATACTGTTCCATGTGCTTCATCTGTATTAATTTATTTATACAACTCCTCTAGGAGTTAAGCATTGTAATTATCCCAGTTTTAAAACCAAGGAAACAAATCATAATCACCCTCTGTCCCTGTGTCCTCCTTTACTTTTTTCTATTCTATTTATTATCATCTAACATTTTTTTTAAATTTTAATTGTTGATAGACCTTTATTTTATTTATATGTGATGTTGAGAATCGAACCCAGTGCCTCACACATGCCAGTCAAGTGCCCTACCCTGAGCCACAGCCACAGCCCATCATCTAACATTTTTAATTAAGCTTTTAAAAATTAGTATACTCTTGGTACTTCTTGCAGGACACATTTTTTTTCTGTGATATGAAAACAGAAGTGCATATAACTACATCCTGTAGGCCTTGAAAAAAAATGTGATGCCTTGTTTAAATAGTGTGAAAATGTTTGGATTTATAAATGAAATTGTGCTTGACATCTCCTGAATTTATTTCTCTAAACTATCTCAGCCCTGTTGCTCTCAGCAGCCTGGCTGGCTCTCTTCTACTGGAATTAATTTTCTGAGCTCCTAGGTGTGGAGCTTCTGTCAGAATCTTTGAAGCTGCCCTCACGGATTAATTACCCTTAAAAGTAGCTTTCAGTGAAGTATGTGGAAAGAGAGAGGGGTGGATGTTTTATCAAGAGGGTTTTTGTTTTGGTTTCTCTTTTTATTCTTTTTAGTTTTTTTTCCCTTTCTTTCTCTTCTTAGATTACTGAGTCCCAACATTTGAGGAACTGTAATCTATAGAATTTGGGTTTTTTTTTTCATTTTTAATAAGCAAAATAATAATAAGGAAAAGGAAAAAAAACATCATTTGACAGATATTAGCAACTAAGTGATATCTTAGTGTATATATCTAATTGTAAAGAAGATTTACATGTCAAATGTAAATCTTCTTTCAAAACTATTTATGTAGGGCCAAGGGTGTAACTCATTGGTAAAGCACTAACACAGCATTCATGAACCTCTGCGTTCAACCTCCAGCACTGTGTGTGTGTGTGGGTGTGTGTGTGTGTGTGTGGGTGTGGGTGTGTGTAAATTATTCATTTTTTAAACCCTTATTATTTACATAGTACAATAGCTCTAAACAAAGACATTATGAGAAGTTATCACTTTTGGCGGGGGTATGTCTCTAAGGAATGTGCTGAATCTTCTTAGACTTTCACCAGCCCTGCTTTAACTGGATCTGGGGAGCAAGTTATGTGCTAGAAGGGGACAGTTTGGAATTATCCACAAACTTGCCATTTGGTGTCAGATAACCCTTTTACCAACTCCTTTCCCCACCCCAAGCTGAGACTAGGGTAAAGTAATAGAGGCACCTAGAGTGCACAATTTAAACCTACATTGAATAGACTACAATAAAAATATATTTCCCCACACCCAGTTCCGAAAAGATAGGACTTAATGGTTTCTATTATGTTGTTTGCTCAATAAACCATTTTGCAAAAGCAGGGGCATAATATCAAGCAGAAATCTATCTCATCACTGAATAAATCACTTACCAGCTTTGAAATCTTAGGTGAAATAACTTCCCTGAGCCTTATTTCCTCCAACTCAGAGGATCACAGTGAGGATTAATAATATATAGACCCACGAAGTGCTTCCACTAAGTGCTCACAGAATATAATCTCCTTCCCCACCTGGTTCCTTGTTACATGAGACCTACGGCCATGCCCTGAGTACAGCCTGCCTGACTGAATACTTTCACTTGATTAAAAAGTATATGATGGACAAACTGTATTTCCAGAGAATGATGAAGAACAGGAGGTGTTGCCATCTCTGAATAAACCTGGCTGGTACTCTCAAGGGAACGCTGTACACCTTTATGAACTTCTGAAGAAAATGACTGGCAAACCTGAACCCAAGGTATTTTCTGATTCAGAATCCTTAATGTCCTCTTGCAGATATAAAGAGTTGTAAACTAAAACCTCAATTGTAAATGCATTCAGGTTAATTATCTATGGAATCATCTCCCTCTGTCAGCTGCCATAGCTCTCTTTTTACCTCTCCTGATACAATAAGCCTTTTCTTTGTTGATATAGACCTGGTCTTTATCTGAGACAGAGAAGAGTAAGGTTTCCAAGCAGGCAGCCACAGATCTAGGGAGTGCATGGAATTCATATATGGGATGCCTGAGGAATGATAATCCTGATAACAAAAAAAGGTTTTATATGTAAAACAAACCCAAACTGAAATTATACTACAGATTATCCTTAAGACCCACTGCTTTTGACATCTTGATCTTATTGAGGATGTTGAACATTGGTGTATTTTCCACAACAGACTACTCTTCTAAAAAATATTCACCGGTAGCTCCATGAGCAGAAGAGATAATTGGGTAACTGAACCCTGTGCTATTGGCTCCCACATTGCTGCAGCTCCCAAGGACCCCTAAGGAGTTCCATGGACAAAGGATCTTGATTTGAGAGGTTCTAGGTCTTATCCCTTAACCTCATTTTCTCATCTGCAGATTGAAATGTGTGGACTAGATCCATGGGACTTTTGCTTTAGAATGTCTATGGAGATTTCTAGATTTCAAGCCCAGCAACACTCTCAGGTGTTCTGTTTCAGCAGATCTGGGGTGGGTCCCAGAAACTCTTGAAAAGTGGTTGTGATGTGCACCCTTCACAATCTGCAACCCACTATGACAAGTTGTCTTTAATATATCACCAGCTCTTCAGTTCTAAGGGCAGATTTAAATGTATACAAAACACACAGGTTCACGTCTTCTGTAGGAAAACTGAATAAAATTATTCATCTCACCTTATACCTTTCTTCTATCTGCAAGTGGGTTGTATAACTTCTTAACATGAACTTGGCCCTCTGTGAATCAAATGGGACACGTCAGTGGTCAGCTGCCAGGTTATTCAAAGAAATGTAAGATGCTTTTGCCCTTCTTTTGCCTTCCATGAAATGATCACCACTGTCGCAGTTCTCATGCCTCAAACAGAATTTTCTGTCTGACTTACAGGTTGTTTACTTTGGTGACAGCATGCATTCAGATGTTTTCCCAGCCCGCCACTATAGGAACTGGGAGACAGTCCTCATTCTAGAGGAGCTCCAAGGAGAAGAAGCCTGGAAGCCTGAGGAGTCAGAGCCTCTGGAGAAGAGAGGAAAATATGAGGTGAGCATCCCTTTCACTCTTTTCCTGAAAGAAAAAAAATTTATTTGAAAGCTAAAGTATTTTCATACTACTTGACTTCACAGGTCTCCTGGTCTGACTAAATGCCCTCATGCTTCTGTAGTTTGTTTTTGAAACAGTGTGTATTAAAGGTCCTTAGCAGATTTTTCAAGCAAATTTAGTTGTATTACCTGTTTCATGGAAAATTTGACATGTGTCTTTCTATTTGTATTTAAAGACAAATGAGACAGTTACATGGTTTTGTTTTGTTGTTGTTACAAACATTTTTGACGCAAACCTATAAAAGTCAGGCTGCTTTAATACATATATATAAGTCCAGGTCTGTTCTCTGCACAGCACACTTCCATGGAGAAGACCAGAGCAGCACTTCAAAACAGGCAGTAAGCACTGCACCTCATGAGAGTTCAGATTCTTTCCTGCTTCCCTGTGGAGGGGACAGAATATAAACATCTTGCTGACCGCTGCAGCAGGAAGGAAACAGTCCATAAAGAAAGATAAAAAGAAAGCACTGTGTGAGTTCTGTATATTTTGTGATTGTTAAGAAAAGTGTAGTTTAGTTTTTCCAAACAAATGTCAAGCACAGGATACATATAAGATGCTGTCTTTTGACAGGTTTGAAGTCTGATGCAAAAGGATTTAATTCTGTGTTTCTAATTTACTGTATTCAGCCTAAGTGAAGTTTGAAAAATATAATTAAAATCAAATTAACCAGATCATTTCAAAATTGATCCTGGAAGCCAAAACATTTACATGTACTACATTCTGCAAAGATTAACATTTTATTTCATTTTAGGTTTGAATTCAATTTATCAGATATTGGTAGTTGTTTCCATTCTTTATAAGAGCATAGAGAATTTGAGGATCACTTTCACCTCCTTTCATTTGTGACAGGAAGCTTAAGATAAGGACAGGGAAAATCTCAAATGGAATTTTACAGACTGTTGCTCAAAACTTTCTAAAATCATGGTACATCAGTTGATTATTTCCTCCACTGTTTTTAGAACAAATTAAAACAGCAAAAATGGCACATTTTAATGTTTAAGTAAGCCCAGCTAAAGAAAATAAGGAATAATTTTCTTTAGTTTAAACATTAGAAACAAATAATCAATAAATCAAGTCTTATTATACTTATAATTACTTGGACACCCTTAACTCTGTGTAACTAGCCTCCTAAGTCAAAGGAAGAGGAGCTCTCTTCTTCAACTTCCTTCAGTACTGTTCTTACTTATTTCTTCATTTTAACTAAAAACAAGTGAGGGGTTGAACTCTAAGGTCCTTTACCACTGAGCTATATCATTATTTATTTTGAACATGCTAAGTTGCTTAAGGCCTTGCTAAGTTGTGATCCTCCTGCCTCTGCTACCCAAGTTGCTGGGATTGCAATTGTGCACCACTGTGTCTGGCAAAATTAATGATGAAAATAATTAGCAAGCAAGAAAGAAAAGGGACCATTCTTTAATTAGAGAAGGATATCATCCAAAACACCAGTGGGAATGTAACATGTAATGGTGGAATTAAAAGAAAGGAAAAGCCAAAAGCCATACTGCCCTTTAAGGTTCTTTATGGATACTGTTTATCAGTTACACTGTGTAACAGAGAACTGGCCAATACTACAAGAAAAAAAAAAAAGAAACATGGAGTAAGATTAAATTCATCACTATTTTAGGGTTATGTGATCCTTAGCATAGAAGAAATCAACAAACTATTAAAACGAATGAGTGAGTTTGGTCAGAATGCTAGATCCAAATTGGCATTCAAAAATTAACAGCCATACTCTTTACCAGCAGGAATCACTTAACAAAACGTGGTAAGAAACAGATTATTTACAACAGCAACAAAAATAAATCACTGTCTAGGAATTAACCTAATAAATATATAAGACCTTAATGATGTAAATTTTAAGCTTATTAAAAATTCTGAATACAGGGGCTAGGGCTGTAGTTCAGTGGTAGAGCACCTGCCTCACACATGTAGGGCACTGGGTTTGATCCTGAGCACCACATAAAAATAAATTAATTAATATATTGCATCCATCTACAACTAAAAAAATATTTTAAAAATTTTTGAATACAGTTCTAAATAAATGGAAAGACATATTTGCAAAAGCATGATTTTTATAGATGACTGTTTTCCTCACATTTATTTATAAAGTCAATATAATGTTTTACAAAATCCCAGGAGGATTTTAAATGGATCTTCACAAACTGATTTTGCATTTAGAAAACTTAAAACCCATAAATTGCTCAGACAACTTTGAAAAAAAAAATAAAAGATTGGAATTTTACTCCATCAGACACTAACCATAGTAGAAAACCAGATTGTTGTTGTTTTTGATCTAGTACTGGAAACAGAGTATGGAACATTTTTTTAGACAATGTTTTCACTGTGAACCAAAAGATCTGACAAAAATAATCAAAAGTTTATTTGGGGACTGATGGTTCAGGGGTCTTGCTCCATAGACTGCCAACTCCATTCCTCAGAGCCCAAAGTGAGGTGGAACATCATGGCAGAAGAGTGTGATGAAGGAAAGCAGCTAAGAAAGCAGAGAGAGAGCTCAGCATACTGAGAACAAAATATAAACACCAAAGGCACACTGCCCGCCCCAATGATCACCTCCTCCAGCCATACCCCACCTGCCTCCATCGTTGCCACCAAGTTAATCCCTATCAGGGGATTCATGCACAATTAGATTAAACCTCATATAACCTAGTCATTTCATGTCTAAACTTTCCTGCATTGACTCATACATGAACTTTTGGGGGTAAAACTCATACTGAAACCATAATGGGAAAGCATCTCTAATCCAAAATATCTGAAATGTTCCAAAGATCTGAAACTTTTTGAAGCCAATATAACACTAAAAAAATTTTGGATTTTCAGATGTGGGATGCTTAACCAATAAAGTCTATGCCAATATTCCCAAATTTGAGTGCTTCTTATCCCATGCATTTCAGATAAGGAATATGTAACCTGTATATAAAAATTTCAGTGAATAGAAGGAATAAAAAAAGACACGGGCCCATATAAATGTGGGTATGGCAGAACATTGTCCATTAACAGAAAAGGTTAAACAATTCAGATAATAGGATTAAGTAAGTGGTTTCATTATATGGAAAAAATAAGATGATCTCCTTTTACATCCTATATATAAAAATAAATTTTGAAGGAATTATAGACCTGAACATAAAACTTGATTGAAGAAAATTTTGAAAGTATTTTTTTCATCCTCATTGTAGGAAATGATTTTTTTTTTCAAATTATAACTCAAAGGACAATAATAAGTAGAAAAACTGATGACTTTGCATCAGTATAAAATAGTTCTCTTCAAAACACCTGGGATACGGTTGATCTTTGGACCTAATTCAAGGGAAAGAGTCTTGCAATATCTATTTAGATTGAACCTTATGAAATTGCTATTTTTATATGTTAAAACAGGTGAATACTACACCTTAATATGATCCAAACTGATAAAACTAACAATGGGTTGATATCTAAGGGGTTCGACAATGGGCTAAAATCAGATACTCAGTGTGAAATAGGACAAAAGATATCAGGCCGTTGGGGAAAAGTTTGTATATAAGAGGAGACAACCATGCTCACTAGTAATGCCTAATGTACAATTGAAACAATGGTGAGATACCAGTGTAAAGCTATCGGACAGATAAAACTTGAGTTTCTATTTTTACATTGATTTACTGATATAATAAAATAATCTGAGACCTTACTATGAGCTAATTTAGAAAAATATAACATAGACTAGTATTATTCTCTGAAGTTGCACTCCATTATGTTTGACAACTCTGTAGTAAAATGAAAATAATTATTATTCTTTATTTTGTTGAATAGTTTTTTGGCTTTTAAGTTAGAAATAAATACTATTTTATTTAGAATTATACCTGGATATGGCCAACACCCTTTGGAAATTCTATGATAAAGGAATATGGTCAGCCCTAGAAAAAAACAAAATTTATTACTGAGTATCCCTTATACTTTTTTAAAAAAAGATAGTACCTTGAAACTTTTTATTCAGTTATTGGCTTCATGTTATACGTACATTGGAAGCAGTAAATAATAATTCTATCCTCATCCCCCTTTAAAAAAATAAACACCAAATTTAAAAATTAGAAATGTTTTAACTAAGTCAAGCACAGTGGTGTATGCCTGTAATCCCAGAGGCTCTGGAGACTGAGGCAGGATCGGGAGTTCAAAGCCAGCCTCAGCAACAGTGAGGCACTAAGCAACTCAGATCCTGTCTCTAAATAAAATACAAAATAGGACTGGGGATGTGGCTCAGTGATCAAGTGCCCCTGAGTTCAATCCTGGGTACCCCTAACCAAAAAAAAGAAATTTTTAGCTATCCTTTAGATACAACAATAATAATTAAAGATTTATTTTAATTGTAGAGAAAACATTCTTTCTAGATTGCTCTGTTTGGGGTAGGTTTAATACCATAATCAACTAATTATTTAAAAGATCATTCTAGTTTGAGATAAAGGATACTTTATAGTAAGTACTATTTCTTTCCAAAAATGTAATGCATAACCAAAGCCTGATTATGTATTCCTACAGGATTTTTTTCTCAATTTGCTTAAAAACAAAACTATGTGATTAATTTACCACAGTTTTCATTACTAATCACATTTATTATTCCATTTTCTTCTTTCAGGTACCAAAGACAAAACTTCTAAATACATTTTCTAAAAAATGGGGCTCCTTTTTTATTGATTCAGTTTCACAACGGGAAAATTCAGAGGACTCCTTGGTTTATACATGGTCTTCTAAGAGAATCAATACTTACAGCACTATTGCAATTCCAAGTATTGAAGCAATAGCAGGTAAGGGGGAAAATACCTTTTGAAACAGGTAATCTTTACCTGTTATTGGATAGTGATGACAATAACTACCAGGATTCTTGTCCTTTAAAAGAAGGAAATCTTCCCACAATGTTGATTTATTTTTCTTGGGAAACATCTTTTAAATATGGTAGCCTGGGTAATTAGGACCAGCCCTTCTGCTACAGCCAACTACATAAAAGTTGGACTTATTTTTTTTTTTAAGTCAGCTTTCAGGAATAGATTAAATGTAGGAATTACCATAACGGCATCCTTAGGAGGTCTAGGAAGAGTGGGCCTGGTGAACTCCCTTAATCTGTGTTGAAGCCCTGGTAGGTTTTATCTTAGAATAAGGATGAATACAGAAGTAGTTTCCATTTTCAAAGGGACTAAAAGCTCAGCTTCAAATCAGCTGAATATCAAAGTGACAGATTAGTTAATGCCTTTGATAACCTGGCAGAAACAAATGTAGATTCTCATTTGAAAAAGATAGTATTATTCTAGGACTCAAATTATTTCTACCAACAGTCCATATAATGGTCAACACTTAATAAAAAATATCCAAGTATACAAGGATAGGGGACCACAGTAACAGAAATAACCATGTGTACTTTGGTCAAATACAGAAAAGAAAGGATTGAGAAATTTGGTAAAGATGTTAAAACTATAAAAAGACTGGAAATTCTATGGAGGAACTTTGATTGGGCAAAGTGGTGAGGAGGGAAGGAGGGGGCTTGGGGACAGAAAAGATGGTGAAATGAGTTGGCCATCATTACCCTAGGTACATGTATGACTGCACATATGGTACGCCTCTACATCGTGTACAACCAGAGAAATGAAAAGTTGAGCCCTCAGCTCTCCACTGACTTTATTCTGCTGTTTATATTTTGTCCAGCTTTTCTACTTGTTTTAGCCCAAATGCGAAATGGAAGTCTAAGTACTTAATTTTTGAACTTCAGATTCTTAAATTGCAGTTGATAATATCAAACTGCATTTCCTCCCTCATAGGATGAGTATGAAAGAAAGTATAACAAGATACTTAACTGAATTATTGGTGGGATTATGATGATACATACTACATAGGACTTTCCTAAAGATCCATCTTCTGTCATTATATGTATTCAATATGTCAGTATATCCTCATCTTTTAAACAATATCTTCTCATTGTTTTTTAAAGAATTTTTTTGATAACCTAAATATAATTCTCCCTTTTATAAAAAAAAATTCTGTTAAAGAAATGGACTGTATAACTTTGAGGAGGGCCTATGTCTTCTGTCTACCTTTTTTTTTTAGGAAGAAATATTAATAAGTAGGACGTTAGGACATGGCAATAATCAAACAAAGGTAAACCAGTGCCCCCCTCCCTTTTTAGGGAAAGGATGAGTAAGGTTATGTCATATTCAGTTGTTTATTTTGATGCTGAAGACAATTCTCAAAAAACAAAGAATTCATCAAAGTTCACATTTTTTTTCCTGTGATCACATTTTTTGTGAAGAAGTTATATCTCAAAACTTCATATTATTGCAGAAACAGATTAGTGTCACTCGATATTACTGCATAATTTGCCTCCAACTAAAAAAGATGGCTAGAAGAAAATTAGTGTGATTATCATGGCTTTAAACATGTTAAAGGTAGAGTATTTATATAAATGTTATCCTGCCAGTCTCTTTTTTAAAAAGTCCCAAGAGTTGTTCTGTCTCTGTTATTTAATATTGAATTTACTGTGGAAGAACATTTGCTCCATTTAATTGTTACCTAAGTTTGGATAATATACTTGATAATTATAGTGTACTTAGTTCAGAGTTTTAACAGAATACTGTTGTGGTGAGTAAGAATTTGATTCTTTGTCTGCTTTCAAAACCCAATATATATAAAAAAAAAAAAGTTATAATTCCAGAGCTATAAAAAAAAAAAAACAGCACCCAACAGTGACTTCCCTGTAAGGGACACAAATGTTTTCTTCTTGGAGAATCCATAGTCTAATGAATTCCTAGTCTAGGAATACTTTTTTTAACAAAATAGTTATCTGACACAGTTTGGCTATATCCCATTCCCTGAGTTCTTCATAATAACAAACATTTCTGTACCAGGAGACAATAAAGTTCTCTGTTTTGAATGAGATAGGTGCAAAATAAACCTCTTACTCCTCTTTTTATTTCCCCCTGTAGAAACTGGTATCTTTAGGCCCAGTGCAGTGGTACACACCTACAATCCCAGTGGCTCCGGAGGCAGGAGGATCATGGGTTTAAAGCCAGCCTCAGCATCAGGGAGACACTAAGCAACTCAGTGAGACCCTGTCTCTAAATAAAATACAAAAATAAGGCTAGGGATATGGTTCAGTGGTTGAGTGCCCCTAGTTCAATCCCCAGTATTTAAAAAAAAAAAAAAGCTGATATCTTTAGACTTGGTTATCTCATTCATATTTAAATATCCAGAAGCCATTTTTATAACTGTTATAAAAATTTTGTACTTAGCCAGATATGTTACAGTGGTGATTGGTTTATAAGGTAACATTTTTAACCTATCATAATTCTACCAGTAATTCAGGTAAGTATATTGTTATACTTTCACATTCATCCTGTGAGAGAAGAAATGAAGTCTGGTATTATCATCTCCAACTTAAGAATCTGAAGTTCAGAAATTACTTAGACTTCTATTTCTCACTTGGGCTAAAACAACTAGAAAAGCTGGACAAAATATAAATATCAGAGTAAAGTCAGTGGAGAGGTAAAGAGGCAACCAACACTTGATGGCACAGAATTCCTGGGAAAGAAAGTATATTTCTTACATTTTAGAACTATATAAAAAGGGGGAAAAAAAGATGGTTGGCTCAGCTCTTGGCCTGTGTCATTTGGTAGTTTATCAGAAATTCAGAACCTCAGAGTACAATTTTAGAAACAGATTTATGAATTTACTTTTCAATGCAATTTCATTTATTTTTTAATTAATTTATTTATTTTTAAATTTTAGTTGTTTTATTATATTTTACTTTGAACCAGGGATTTAACCCAGGGGTGCTTTACCCAGCCCTTCCTTTTTTATTTGTTTTTTTTTCAGTTGGTTTTTTTTTTTTGAGACGGGGTTTCGGTAAGTTGCTTAGGACTTCAATAAGTTGCTCATTCAGATAAGCATTTCTATTTATTGTGTAGAGTACTAAAATTGAACTCAATAGTTAGATCAAACTTGTGATCCTTTTGCCTAAACCTCCCAAGCTGCTGGGATTACAGGCCTGCACCACTGCATACCACTCAATGCAATTTTAAATGCCTGGTTAAAAATGTATTCCAGCTACGGCTGGAGATGTAGCCCAGTGATAACAGCACTTGCCTAGCATGTACAAGGCCCCGAGTTCAATCTTCAGAACCACCAGACAGACAGACAAAACTCCTCTGGCAAACAGAATAGGGAGGACCTATGACATTTACTAATGTCGAATGTTTTTCTGTTTGTAGTAATCCTAGCTCTCTTTAACATCAGGAAGGCAGTGTTTCTTCTTATTCTCTAGCACTAGTTTTCATTTCATAGATTGACTGAGTTTTGATGGTTTTCAGTGGCATCTAAAATAAAGTATAATTTCAAAATATTTAGTACTTTGGTTCTACTTGTAAAATTTGTGAAATAAGGATTATTGTCATATATATATATATATATACACACACACAAATATATATATATATACACACACACACATGACAATATATATTTTTTTTTCCCTTGGTAGTGCGGGTTGAACCCAGGCACACTTCACCACTGAGCCACATTCCCAGCCCTTTTAATATTTAATTTAGAGTCAGGGTCTCACTAAGTTGCTAAGGGTGGCTTTGAACTCACAATCCTCCTGCCTCAGCTTCCTGAGCCTCTGGGATTATAAGCGTATGCCACTGCACTGGGCTACTGTCATATATTTGGGTGTGGAATGAGTATCATAATGTGATATGTGCTGATATGCTTCACTTGAAATATTTCTTTTTAATGGTCCCTTTGAGAAGTTGGGGGTTAGGGGTAGTATCTGAGGATTGTTTTAAACTTTTGAGACATAGATGAGGATATCATATTTTCTAACATCAAGCATATATTATATGGTATCTATCTTAATTTCCCTCCAGGTCCTGTGTATGTGCAATGCTTATCACATAGAGAAAGTTACCATATTATGTATATTAGAATTCTTATTTTGCTGAACATTCAAAGATTATTCTTAGTGACCCTCTTACTATTCCCTGAGGCTGTGAAGATTATTAGTTCAGATTTACCATTTATGAGATTTGCTGAATAAGACCTGGGAGATTTAATTCTTTTTTTTTTAAATTCAGATGAGCATACCTATTTATTGTGTAGAGTACTAAAAGTGAACTCACTAGTTATTAGAGCTCTGAGAATGATTTGCAGTATGGCTAAATGTGATTTGACTTAAGTATTAAGGAAAGACATTCACACTCATCCTAGTGACACCTGTCCATATGGTAAAAGAAACATTAAAATTATGAAACTCTAAAAAATAAAACTGAATGTCTCTTTTTTATTTATTTGTATTTTTGAAAGGTGGTTAGAGACCTGCAGAATAATCAAATTGTTTTTTGTTTTTTTCTCCCTCTTAGAATTACCTCTGGACTACAAATTTACAAGGTTCTCTTCAAACAGTTCAAAAACAGCTGGCTACTATCCATTGGTCAATTATACCAATGGTCTTATTGAATGATGAGATTTGTACAACAAGATAAATTATCTCTACTAAAAAATGAAGAACCACATATGCAGCAAATGTACTGTAAAAAAATATTAATTTTCAAAGAAATACTGTAAAATGCTTTATAGGAACAAATTTTTAATGAAAATTGACCAAGAAATTGATATTTGTCCATAGATGTGCTTTTTATATAAGTCATTTTGATGCTTAACAACTCTTGGAATATTAAAATCCCAGTATCCTAGAACTAAAAAGAACATTATTAGTATTTTCTATACCAATAGCTTTGAAATTATAATTCAGCTGGGGAGACCCACAGAGTTTATACATATGCTTAGTCTGGTGGTTCTCAAGTGTGTGTCCAGGGATGCATAGCAGCATCACCTAGAACTTGATTATTCCAATTTGAAGGCCCTACCCCCAAACCTACGGAGTCAGAAACTGTGGGAGGTAGGCCCACCAGTGTGTTTTCTTAACAAGCCTTTCAGGTGATTTTGATTGACACTAGTTTGAGAACCAATGACCATTTACTCCAGAGTTTAGTTTAATTTGTCTGGGTAAATACCTGCGCATTGATATCGTTTATAATGTCTTTATTAGTAAGTACAACAGAACTGCGAATAACCAGTCTATACCAATTCCTTCAATTTAGAGCCAAGAACATTGAGCCCAGTGACATTAAATGATTTTCCCAAACTATTAGGTTTGATAACTATTCCTGGTTTTTTCCAAAATAAGAAAATACATACATGATTTCTTCTGATATCACACAATCATCATGGGACAGAGATGGTACTAGAAGCCAATCCCAACCTTCATTGTTACCCACTGTTTCCCCCTAATAATATTAAGGAATGTTTAATTCATTATCAATAACTTTAAGACATGTTTCTCAATAGGATTAAAAATTGATTCTAGGGTACAAAACAATCTTCAGTAACACGGTGGATTCTGGCCTTTCAAAATTCAAAAATACCAAGAAAATTCATTTTTATTCCTTGGCATTGGATTTTCTTATTAGGGAGCAGTATATAGTTATTAAATTTGAGTTAAATGTAGTTTTTTTCTTTGGGAGGGAGGGTGATGAAGAAAATGTTGAGAAACACTATTTTAAGGGGTTTATAGGTTTATTACAATCCAGGATGTTGTGCTTAGTCATATTAGTAGCTATTTGTTATAAGACATTTAGGTTTATTACAATCCAGGATATGTTGTGCATAGTCATTAGTAGCTATTTGTTATAAGACATTTGGAGCCAGATAATGTTTATAGTAAATTCCTAACTACTTTTTATGCTATAATTTCACTATTCATCATGGACAGGACCGGAAAACAATACTGGTCATTATTATTATTTTACTTGTATTATAGCAGAGAACTTAGCATGGACACATGCAGTGAAAAGATAAATATTTTGTTAAAATTTGTAAATATTTGAGAAATCTCAAATACACTGTGGGAATGATTATCTCAGGGTAAGAAACTTTATTTTTTTTCCCCCTCAAAGTCAGTAGCTTTGTTTGATATCTACCAATAAGTATATGGTGATGTATTTGAAATTGTTATCTAGAATGTCATTGAAATATATTACAATGTGCATATACAATCAAGCTTAGGGCTAAATGAAGATGTGAACTCGTGTATGCTATAGAGATCTGATTTTTTAATAAAGCTATTTTTCCTTATGCATGTTTATTCTGTAAATGGCAAAGAATACATCTTTAAATGCTTATGAACTGCTATTAATAAGAAAAATGAGAGCCCCCTAAAAAATAAACTGTACTTTCCTGACCACTGAAGAGTGGCAGGGACTGGGCGTTCTAAGTTTCCCTCTACCTTTTTAGCATGTCAGTGATGACTCTAATGGATGTTTGTTACACTGTATTAGGCTTTTAACATTTTTCTTTCATTGTCATAAAAAGTGCCAGTGTTTCTAATGGAGTATGAAGAGTAAATATCATCCAAAAGTGACACCATAAAAAGTAAAAAGAATATTGGAAAAGTTTTTTTATCCTTTAATAAAATTATATGAAATAAGGAAGGAAATTTTTCCCAATACAATCAGTGCAGGTTTTGGTGGCAATGGAAGCACCTACATTGGTTTTTATCACTGAACATATTGTTTCCAGTGGAAAACTATTATGTACCATCCTTGTTTACCACATTTATGTTAACTACGCCCTCCTTGGTATAATTCCCAAAGAGCTTAATGTAGCTTTGGAAGAATTAATGACTTTGGATTTTGTGAGTAGCACTTAAATTTTTTTCATACAGTGTGTACTATGTCAAAAAGATAACAGTGTGTGGTATATCAAAAAGAATATCCTAAATATGACTGAAATATATTGAGAAACACATGAAAGCAGATATTACACTTCAGTTACTAGTAATGATATAGTGTGCTGTCCAGCCAGGGCTCGTAAAGGTTTAGAGAATAAATACTTCTGCATCCTGTGTAACAGGGAGGGTTATAGATGCTGCAAGGTCTGTGAAAATTAATAACCAGGTATACTTAGGCATATAAGCAAAAAGTTGACATAAACGGCCCAAAATTTGAGTTAGAAACTTAATTAAATATATAATCAGGGTTTGCTGCCTTTTTTTTTTTAATTTTTAGAACTTATTTTGTTTCTTTCTTTATGTGGTGCTAAAGATCGAACCCAGTGCTTCACATGTGCTACACAAACTCTCTACCACTGAGCCAGAACCCCAGCCTGGGTTGCTGCTTCTTGATTCAGTTCTTAAACTTAAGTTCCACTTGCTGAGGTGTAATTTTTTCTAGGCCTGGAGGTTTTAAGAGAGCTATATTTCTTTTGCGAATTCAACCATCTTTTCCATTCCTGTGCTGGACATAATTAGAAAACGTCATTTTTCTTGCCCTTGGTTGATTATCAGCTTTAGCTTTACCAATAGTGTCATTCTTCTACAGGCTAGTGCCACTCATTTGTTACAGATTAATGTGGTTGCTGTTTAGTTTATTATAACTAGTCATTAAATTAGACTCGGGCATCATATAGGTTTCACTTACCAGTTTGGTTAACTCTAGAAGCCCAGTTCCATTTCTTAACATCGTCTTCGTCGTCTTATTCCTTCTGTAGACCTCCAAACCAGTTAAGAGATTCTCTCATCCTCTGGTCATCAAAGAAGTATTATTATTTTCATCTGCTTAAGCCATATTGCCCTGTGAGAAGTTAGTGACACCCTTCATAATTTCCCTGTGACCATTTGATAACTTTAATGGTTTCCCAACCTTTTATTAAACTAGACAACAAACAACTTTTTATTTATTTTTATTGATGACAACAAGAAATATAACAGTGACATTTTACTTTTCTTTCAAGCACAGAGAAGACAAAAGTACTAATAATCCTTATTTAGTTTGACAGCAGTTCTGCTAGTAGTTATACTGGTTAGGAACATAAGGTCAAGTACATTATTATTAGGGCAAGAAATATCAAGTAAGACAACAGTTATGCTTTTTGAGATTACTTTCACAAGACAGCAACAATCTTCAAAATCTTCAGATTCTTCAAAGATCACATTATTCAAATTATATGTCTAAGAATAGAACTATATAGAAGAGAGACCATAACAAGCTAATCTATTAATGAATATTCACAGACATCTTCATACTGCACAGGACACAAATTTTGATATTTTTGCACATGTCCTCAATTACAAGCAAAAAAGCAGGCCTGTAAACATCAATTTTGCCAATAGGCTGAAATGGAGAAAGGAATTAATAGGATGTTATTCAAACACAGTGAGATAAGGAACATATACCATTAATCTCCCACATATATAAAGGTTACTCCTAAAATTATAGAGAGAAAACACCCAGACTTGTATTTTTGTTTACAAAAATCTATTGGTGAATTTAAGGAGTTAGGAAAAATTGGAGGAAAGCCCTTCTCCAAGCATCCTAATTAAACCCCAAATGCTTTGATTCTCTCACCTCTACCCTAGAACTGCCTCAGGCCTCGCCTTCCACCCCTGATCCTGCAGGGATCTTTACTGTGGGCCTTGAGAAACTCACAATACATCAGGCTTATTTCTGCTTCTGGGCCTTTAGTTAGTTTCCCAGCCTAGAGCACCCTCTCCACTGATTGTATCAGACCTCCTTAGCCCTCAGGAGCTTAGGGAAAGGACTTCAAAACAAAGGAAACGGGTGAAGGCCAATGGTCTTCACCAGCACCATATACCCCCACAACTGAGACAGCCCTACAGTATCACTGTGCTGGAACTTGTCCTGGAAACACAGACTCCACCTTATTCCCACAATGCGGACTGCAGCCTACTCCCTCATTTGGAAGGACAAAGCAGGGAAAGAAATGCTGAAACTAAGAAGTGAGGACTCAGAGGACCAGGCAGTAGAATGGAGCCTATGGAATATCACAGCATTAGAGGCAGAGTGACTCGCAAAATGCTATTTTCAAATCATTTCTTAAACAGTCCAAGTCCCCCCAAATTGTCATCTTTTGAAAAGTGAAGTAAAGCAAATTCTAGTTGCTTGGCACACAACCTGTACAGGGTCTGCCTTCAACACATCACTGAGGCCCTTTTCTCTCCTTCCAGCTTCTCAAATTAAAGCTCAAGAAATTCACAGAATTAGGCAGGATAGGAGAAAAAGGGTGGGGATACCACGATTAGAAAACACAATGCCCAAATAAGCAGTTACCCTACAGGTCCCTATGTGACCTTGCTAAAAGTGAGGTGAAGAAATAAGGGCAGAGATCTGAAGTCTAATTTATAAATCTCTTTCTGGAAACACCCAAAAACCTATTTTGCCAGTTTGTTTTCTGTCTCTCAGCAGTAACTGCTCCAGAGAGGGAAGGAGGAGAAAAAGACAGGGGAAGAATGAGAGGCATAACAAGACCTACATTCCAGAAAAACCTCTTAGTGCCCTCACCCTGGCAACTCCATCATGTCCAGAGGAGGATGGAAGGGGCAAAAAGGGGTAGCCAAACAAAGTCACCTGTATTAAGGGTGGTTTGTTGGCTAGGTCCCTGAAAGGCTACAAAAAGGGACCATTCCACCTTGCTTTGGGCACTGCATTATCACTACTCAACTTGCCTTACAAGTAATTGGGTTTATGGGTAATCACAGTGGATATGGGGGTTCCTGTGTGTTGCTTAGGGGCTTAGGTCCATAGATAGTTCTGTCGAGGCAGTGGTGGCCTGTGCAGAGCTCCACCAGCAGGGAGGAAGTAGTGTTGGTGGGCTACAGCACAGGCCTTCATACTCACCAGTAGCCGATTGCGATGCATAATAACCAAAAGTACAAAAAGCCCATTCTTGTTGGGCTACTTCATTTGTGTCTAGCAGTTACCCACGAGCCACCTGCTTGTTCCACCAGAAGACTAGATGGAGAAGGCCCAGAAAGCAGCTGGCATCCAGTAAGTGGTAGCCCAGAATGTCCAGTTTGGGTTGATGGCCGAGTTGGGATTTCAGTTTGATCTTGCAGGGGTGAAACTCAAGAACACATAGTACATGGATATTAGAAGCACAACAAGCATAAAGTGTAGTTAGTTATTTGTAAAGAAGTGTCAAGCTTCCTTATGGTAGAGAACGACTAAAAGACCTGGGAGAAGACCATAGTCACAGACAGGACCAAAGCCATGCAAAGAAGGCAGTACATATCTACAACATCACGAGTGTAGCATAGAAGCAGTAGAAGGCCATGCACTTGGAATATGTTCACACAATGCAGAACAGCTTGAAGGGCCAGAAGAAGAATAGCATAGGTATGTAAGGGGCCATCTTGAAATTGACTGTTGAAACCTTAGAACGGAAGGAAAAACTAATTCAGTACAATGAAAAAGCAGACAGAAGGCTGCATGCTGCTGGCCAAGAATAGACGATGGTAAGGAGACTTGTGCAGGAGCTTCTCAAGGGCAGAAATTAGCCAGACTGGAACCTGAAGGACCTGGGGCTCTCCACAGGCTGTCGTGGTGGACCTCGAATTCCTCTTCGGGGACCTTCTCCCATCAGGTAGTATTGTAGGGGATTGGACCACAGTTCCCCTTTGATAATCTCAGCAATTCTATCAAATTCTAGAAGGCTGTGGTCTGAGAACCAGTTGAAGAAACTCGGGATGGTGTTCCCTTCCCGGTTCCTATGGATATGGGCCTGGGGGTCTTGGCCCCGGTGCCAGCGGATTGGAGTGGAAAGAGACACCACTCGGCCGGAGGATCTGCGCTCATACTCCTTGACTAGCCCCTCATTTCGGAAGTATGGGTTGCTCTGAAAGATGAACTTGAATTTGCAACCTGCCCTGGGGTGTTTAAGTTCCTCCACCTCCAAATTGATCATGTACCTCATTATATCTTCGTCTTGACCACTGATCATAGGTGACAGCTGAGGGTGGTTCCGAAAAGCGGTGACCCAGAAACCTGGAATATTTTGGATAATGAAACTCCTGCGCTGCATATGGAGCCTTCTCATTCGGCCAAATTTGCGCTCCAGCTGGAGGAAGGCCCTGTCGGCCTGGGCATTTACGTTTGACAGCTCTTGATCGATGGCCTCCAGCGAGTCCATGCAATTATTGATTTTCGGGGCCCTAGGCCGGGCCTCTTCTTTCCCTCCACCAGCTGCCTTTTTTTCCTTCTGTACCACCTTCTTTTCCTCCATCACCGCCTCTGCTACTCCCTCTTTTTCTGCTGCTGCCGCGATGGCGCACTTCTTAA